CTAATTTTCCTCCATATTCGCCTAGTAGCCTAAAACTAAGCCTCGTTTTCTGCCTTACACACATACCTAGAAGCTTATGAAACCTTCCAAAAACCATTTTTTCTCAGTATTTGCCCAGCGTCACCAAATTTAGCAAGCTTCAACTCAGAAAAGAAAATAAAAAATGCATAGCTGTCTCTGCCTCGAACCAATTTTTATACTCTTGCGACCAATTGCTACAGAGTACTATAGTTTTGTTCATCTAACGGTTTTACGTATCACCGAAAACTAATTGAGATAGATGCATATATAAATGCTCAGGGTGACGAAAAAAGTTGAAAACCGGTTGACTGTCTGTTTGTCCATCCGTCCGTTCCTGCAAGCTGTAACTTGAGTAAAAATTGAGATATCTTGATGAATCTTCGTACGCAGGTTTCTTAGAACAAAAAAAGGTCGAGTTCGTAGATGGAAGTAATCGAACCACTACCACGCCCACAAATCGCCTATGCCACTAACCACTTAATAAATATATAAAACTCATTTCAAAATTTTGAAAAGTTGGCGTTGCCCAGCGCTCTAATAAGTTCAGTGTATATATACAACAAATACTATTAAAATTCCTACTAATATTATCAAAATATCGAAATCGGAAGATAACCCCATTCACTCCGCATGTAACGATACTGATAAAAGCTACTAAAAGCGCTAAAATAATAACTAAATACGCCAAAGCATTAAATTTTACCACCTTGATGGTATGAGAGAGCCGGTGTGAAAATTGGACGATGGTTGTAGCACCGCCCACTTTTTGGAGAAATTCAATATCTCAAGATCCGACTTAGCGATTTGGACAAAATTTGATATGTTGTATTTTTTTCATATTTCTATGTCACGTTGTCAAAATGAGCGAAATCGGACAACAACCGGCTATTTCTCATATAGCACAACTTTAAATTCCACTTGATTCGTTCAGTTTCCAGTACAGAAATCAAGACGCAATTAATATAGCGGGATTAAACTCTGGATTATTAATATCTTTTGTGTATGCCACCTAATGAACAAACATGATTTAAAAAAAGTCAAAAACGGGCTGAACTGAACCAATACTTCCCTTAGGCCCCATATACTTAAAGTAAAGATTTTCGAACTTCCGGGTCTCTTTTGACTTCATATGTCGGCCAATATGTGAGCTATCTCAGTAGAAATAACCATGTTTTATTCGTAATAGTATATCTTTGTGCCAAAAATAGTCAAATTTGAGCAAGAGCTTGGCCTATCCCCCATATAACTAATACCAGGATTTTCGAACATCCGGTTGAATATACTTTTAGTATAAAATGTTCGGTTGTTCTTGCTCGTTATAATTTTTTTTTTTGTAGATATTTGCAATTTTACTGCTCTTTCGCTCACTTCCCTTTCCAAATAAATGCTATTAATAGCAGCGCACTGTTAAAAATTAGGACATTTACAGACGAGGATTCCTCTGTAAATTTCCCATTTTTTAAAGTTCCCATTAGTGCACATATAAACACAAAATAGACCCTCAAACAGATTAATTTTTGCCGCTCATTTGTTATTTTTATGAATACAGATGTTACAATACTCCATTAACCAAAGAACAGTGAAACCGTCATCTCTCTCTACTAACTGTTATCAAATAGGTCCAAAATATTTCATGATTGAATTAAGAGTAATTTGATTTGGACACTGCTGAAATAATCGATTTTTTAGTGAACTAAAAATTTAAATGGTAAGTCGATATTGATAAAACGAATAAAGAACAAGTAGAAGAGACCAATTTGATATACTCATAATGAGTTACTAATTTGTAGACTAAATTATTAACTTATTCAATTTCATTTATAACGCGCTCAAACTGTTTACTCTCTTTAAAACGTGGCAAGAGGAAAACAGATGATTTCCCTCAGACGAAGGGAAGGGAGTTTTTTAGGGATGTCTAAAAAATTTATAAATTAAATTGATCGGGCAACATACTGATATAAATGTATAATTCAAAATGTAGAAACATAGCGGTGGTCTACAAAAAAGTCCTTGCTAAAGCTAAAGGGAGGTTATTATAAAAATAAAGTCTAATACAAAGCTAAACTGAGGATATGTAATGGAATAAAAAAAAATTATAGAAAAAGTATTTTGTTTTGTTTCTAATTGTTGTTGAACAAAAACTTGGCAAAACTTTAGTCTTCAGACTTATATAGAGCAAAAAAAAAAAAAGAATAGGTAGGAGAATAAAGTATTTTATAGAAGTAGTCAACATTTTGTCCAAAAAATATTTTTTTCTTAATTATAATAATTTGGCTGGAGAAATGTCAGGTTAGGCCAATATCAAGCTAGAGTAAGGTTTTTTTTACAGAATTGAGCACTTATTGCCGAAAAAATATTTTGTATTAAAAATTTCACTCCGTTATCAAGCTACGATCAGATCTATATATATTATGCGTGCATGTATGTACGTATGTGTGTACATATGTACGGGAGCCAGCGTTAGAGCAGACACACTCGCCCACAATCCGCCTGCCAAAAATCATTGCCAATTACTCATACTCTGAATGACAGCAGCTAACACACACATATGTTCAAAACATCACAACGTGATGGCACATCTTCAGTCAAATAAACAAACAAACTGTAATTTTAAGAAAATATAGGTAATTCGACAAATTGGATGTATTGCCTATGAAATTTTGGAAAAATGCTTTGTAAACACACAAAAGAGTACAGTCAATGGGAAGATAGACACGTGTGTACTATATCTATAAATGTATATTGTGTGTGGGTGGTGTATTCATACATACCGCATATGTTAAATGGTACTGAACTTTCCTTAAATGTGTACAATGTAGCAACAACAAAAGCAGAAATAGTGCCAGAGCAGCAAGGGCGAAATGCGGAAAGCAATTAAGTTGCACATGTAGTGAAAATAGTACTAGTACAAGTACTTGCAACAAGAGCTGTGGCAACAGCAATAACAAACAAACAAAACCACAGAAACACTACCGTTGGCAACACTGTAGCAATAATACCCAGGTATATTTCAAAAAGACTGTACAAAGTCTTTTTATTGATATTGATATCCCATCATGTATTTTAACTATATGCTATAGTGGTCTGATCTGAACAATTTCTTCTAAGATTTTTACGTTACCTTGAACAATAATCGCTGCTAAACGTATGTGAAAATATCAAAATATCACTCGGTTTTGAGCGGCTACTTCGTATGACTACTATCTGCTATATAGAACCGATATCCGCGATTCCGAAAAATTAGCGGTTTCTTGAGAGGAAAAGGATGCATGTAAGATTTCTAATCGATATACATACAAACTTATATAGACGGACAGACAGACGGGCATGGCTAAATGCACTCAGCTCGTCATCCTAATGATTTATAAATGCACTTTATAAGATCTCCGACGTTTTATTCCGAGTGTTAAAAAAATCATACCAACCTGAATATAACCTGTCCAGGGAACGCATACACAAAAGATAAATAGAAGACAGCTACATATACCGAGCATAACATTGAAAAACAATAACAATTCAATCAATTGACGCCAATTTACTATCACATGGCATCTATCCATTGTTTACATACTTTAGCTGGCATCGTTCTGCTGTTATATGCTTGAATGCACGAGTCGTGCACGATTCATATTGTCCGCTAGAGATGCCTACCTACTAAACCCTATTGCTGTAGCTTATATTTGGTCTTGCGGGACAGCCGTTAAGAACTACTTCGCCGGACCAAACTGGGCCATAAATGAATCTTCACATCATACCGCCCGGGTTCTTTATGTGGTCTTATGCTTCTCCGCTGCCGTTCTTTCATTCTGAGGTCTCGGAGCGCTATTGCGCCTCACTTTTATATTTTAGCCCCCAACAACTCTGATTGCCAAATGTGACTTACTACGTTGTCGGTCGTCAACCTTTCATTTATTCGTTCTTCTAAAATGGTTCTCGCCATCACAAACCTCAGTACCTGTTTTAAACTGTGTATTGCCATTAAAGGAGCCTAAAATATCCCAAACAGAGAATTTCTTTGTTAATCGTGTATATTTTTATCAATAAAAAATTTTAATAAAATATTTAATTTTTTGTATGTGAAAAAAGAATGTTTTTACCTAAAGAAAACCATGTAACCTATTACACCATACCCTCTGCGGGAAAGCCTCGGTGACACAGATAAAACGGCAAGAAGTCCATGCAAAAATTTAACCTTGTAACTAAACAGTGTTACATTGATATGTATTAATAAATCTTCGCAACCAATCCGTTTTCCCCATAATATCCAAATAACCCAGCTTTAGAATCTTATTATTTTCCCTTCAAACCGTTTGCTTATACTGATTTCTTTTAAAATAACCGTTAAAAGTACCCTTTTGCCCGACATTCAGCTGATTCAGCTGTTTGAAAACTCACGAGAGATTACTGGCACTCGCACACTTCCCGACGATTTTGATTAGAGAACTTTAACGGTATAAATTGAAAGCTGTCAACGAGCCTTTTATTTATTGAGAAACCTTGCACTCAGCAAATCAACACTTTCTTCCATCCTCAGGTGATTCAGCTGTTTGAAAACTCACGAGAGCTTACTGGCACTCACACATTTCCCGATGATTTAAATTAGAGAACCTTGAAAGCTCTCCACGAGCGACTTGTTGATAAGCCTTGCACTCACCAAATCAATACTTGCTTTCATTCTTTACATTCAGCTCATTCAGCTGTTTGAAATCTCACGAGAGCTTACTGGCATTCGCACATTAACCGCCAATTTAGATTAGAGAACTTTAACGGTATTAATTGAAAACTCACAATGTGCGTCTTATTGAGAAGCCTTGGGCTCAGCAAATCAACAATTGCTTCCACCCACCAGCATAACAATGTGCAAAATATGGTATGAAAGTTTAACCGCTAACTGAGAATTTCCGAAGGTCCAGCTAGCGCTTGCTGTACTTTCTATTTAAACAACTGTTATACGAAGGCAAAATTTAGTTTGTGTTAAAGCGTATACGGTAAAATACGGATACAAGTGAGTAATGGATTACGCGTCTATTTCTTGTACTTTTCGTAAAATTTTTTATTCAAGGCAGAGCTTCTGGCCTTTCTATTGCAGGAAGACGGACATGCATACGCGTCCAGTCGTTGATGTGTGGCAAGGACATGAGCGTGCATTTTGTCGGTTGCCGGTTTTGTTTTCCTTGGCCAGAATAACTGTTTGGTTGGATGAGTTAAGCTATCGGCTACACAGGCGGCAATTAAAAACAGAAAATGAAAGTTTTGCTTCAATGATTGCAACGCTGATTTTATTTTGATAGAAAAAGCTAAAGTTTTAAAGACAAATTCAGAAAAAAAAAAACAAACAAAGTCACAAAACTCACTTGATATGCAGTGGATTGTTGGCTAAGCGGGTTGTGTCACGCGGTTCAGTCTGTCGTTGACTAGCGTTTGTGTTGTGTGCGCAGCCCAGAACGAGTGTCGTGAGTCGTTTAAACGGCTTATCTGTGCTTACTCGGTAGCACACAAATATCCAGCCAGTAATTTAAGTTGTGTGTTGGTGAGTTAATATATTGGTTTTTGTTGAGAAAATAAGTCTGAAATACCAGATTCATTTTATGGAATGATTTAACGGTATAAAGGAGTTGAAAATAAAAATAACTGCATCGTTGCAAAGAAACTTTAATTCATGTTGTACATTATTATTTAAGTGATTAATTAAATGGGCGAAATTATGATCTTTTTGGCTCCGCGATCTGAGTTTGGAAAGAGGAAGTCTTCCTGATTAAAAAATATACCGGAATAACCCGCAAACGAGATTATTCGACTTAAAGTAAAAAAAATCCAAAAGTTTAAACAAGCTATTTCCTTACTTTAATACTTTTTATGCCCATTTTTCACTTCAAATTCATTAAATAAAACTGTAAATATTTGAACAAATTCACATTATACACCTTTTGCAGGTACTTTAAGTAAGAAATATATCATTTAAAAATAACTTTTACTAGACATCAATTATGTACTAAGAATTATGAGGAAATGGAACGCTACCATATGATCATAAGGTATTTCGAAGAAGTTCTTTACCTTTATTTAGCAATTTCAGTTCTAATAATTAAAACAAGTGCCTATATTAGATTATATTTTAAAATAAAATGAATATAAACACCCTTTCCATTCTTATGGATATATTCTTATTCAAATTTAATAAACAAATAAGAAATATTATACAAGTATAATAACATTACCTCATAAATTACCTAGATAACCCTAAGTATTGGATCGACCAGGGTTATTTTTTTAGTCCAAAAGCCGCCTACGCAGAAAGGAGTATTACGAGAAAGTACTTTAGTCGAAATGGGTATTGGCTCGAACAGCGTACTTTGATTAATAACGCTAAAATTCCTAATTTCTTCAAAACCTATGTCGTCTCCCACAATGTAATCCCGCTTGGCTCCAATACTCTTCAAGCGATGCACAATTAATGTATTCGCTCGTTAGAGATTGCTGAATTGTCAAAAGTCACACGGAGCTAATTCAGGCTAATATCTTGTTGGCGACAAGGTATTGGTTGACAATTTGGCTAAAAACTCACGGAGAATTAATGCAGTATGTGACGGTGCACTGATCATGGTACAAAAGAGACCCATAATGCGGCCACTTTTTAAGAATAGTTCCACGCAAAACGACACATAACATAGTATTTTTTGTTGACAGTTTGGCTGGTCGGAAGGAATTCAGAATGTACCACATCTCGATAATCGAAGAAAACTGTCAACGTAACATTGGTTTTTTGGCCTGCTTTGACGTGGTTCACATTTGCCATGATATTCGGCCGATTGATCTTGATGATGGTTTTCACTTAGCCTTCCGGTTTCCTCCTTTCCCCTATTTCTGGTTTTCATTAGGTCATATTTGACGTTGGTGTTAATTATGTTTCCTGGCATATTTCTCAAAGCACGGCCATATAAAGTAACAACCAAATGAAAACAATTTAAATTCGATTTAAGGTTTTTATTATATTTTCAGGATATAATTTATTTGTTTTTGTAATTTTTTCAGTTTCAGCTGCTAAAACAAGAAGTTGAATCCAGGGAAGGAACATGGAACTTCCTTTCCACTGAATATACGAAGGCTCAAAGGCATGAGGTGGCTGAAATATTAAAG